AGATCTTGAGCGATAAACTGCAGGCAGCTGTGACTTTCTGGTCTCTGCATCCCTGATTTGGTCCCCGGGCTCAGGTTTATGGGCGTTGGCACCGTTGCAGACTGCTTCATGAACGCAGGGCTTCCCAGACGTCTGCCCTCTGGGGACTTAGAGCCGAGCCAGAATGTCCATCATGGTCTGGTCACCAGAAACAATTGTCGTCGACAATGCGTCTCCTCCGTTTTCTTATCATGCTGGTAGTGTTTTGCTTTTGCAGTGTAGATCCCCAAGCAGTGATCGAGCTCGCTTCGACGACGACCACGCCGGCCAAGATGTGACCAGCAAGAGATCGACAGGAAACCGCCGGGAGACCACCAGGAGACCATCAGAGGAGGACCCCAGAAGATACCCAGAGACTACTAGGAGATGCGAGGCCACCAACCACCAGGATACCACCAGGATGTCAATCTCCTGGCCATTTCAGAGGCACGACCACCATGCGTCCCCCAAGATGTTTTCCCCTCAAGTAGTGGCAGAACATGTCGAGAACAAAGCGAGGCCAAAGTATTAGAGGCCTTTCAGCAGCGCGGCTGCGGCCGCACGGATCCTGTTTAACTGAAAGGGCATGAGTCCCGTCGCGGGTTCCTCAATGCTACACAGCCAGTTCTCTTTACGTCCAAAGCACGAACCCTGTGTGTACCACGCTGTTCGGGGAACGCATGCACCGCATGAAGGAGTCTGCATGCTATAGCTTTGTGGAGAATTTCTGAAGTCTGTTCAGCGCTTTTGACTGTGACGGGAGAGCTCCATCCTGATGTGGCGTGGATCCTTTCCCTGGCTCTGCCGCCCTTTCGCAAGCCTTCGTCGAAGACCCTGTGCAAGAACCCAGACTCAGACTTTCCACCTTGGAGCAGAAAGTCCAATTCCTAAATAGCTGTGCTGCTGCTCGCCTTACGAGGTAGGCTTGGCGGCTTGGCTTTTCTTCCACTCTTCGACATGCAAGTGCAACTTGAAACAGAACCCTGAATCCCAACACGGGAAGCATTCGCCTAATCTGTGCAGCACTCAGGCAGTCGAAAAGATCATCAGCCAGAAGAAGTTGCTCGGCCTGATCGCATTCGCATCCAGCTGTCGAGTCGAACAGAACGGCAGGAGGGCGAAGAAGGGCGCATTGGAGCGACAATCGAAATGACTGGGCTCCTGACACAACAGCGAAGTGCGAGATTTAGCTTGCAGGGCGAGGAACCCGAATCCAAGACTGAACACAGCACCGCCATCATTGTCTCTGTCATTGTTAGCATCATCATCAGCAGCATCATCATCATCATCATCGGAATTACCTTTATCGGAGAATGGTCACCCAGCATCATAGGCATCGACATAGCATCTCACTTCCTCCTCATCCTCCTCCTCCTCCTTCGCATGTCTCCGCATCGTCCTGGTCGTCATCACTTGGAAAACGACCCCAGAAGCCGGTGGATGAGGCGAAAACGGATCACCACGGGCATCCGCGATCGTTGGGTGACCTACCTAGCCTCGGCCCGAGGTTGCAAGGACCGGGACAGGACGGGCTGCCTCAGAGTTTCTTCGTGGTGAGGATCCAGGGTTCCGCCCATGACTTCGTGGTCAGAGATTCGGGATAAGGCTGCCATTTTTGTGAGCTCCAACTTGCGTCCGTTGGGGAGCAAGAGTTACAGTTCAATCTATACATCCCTGCGTGCAAGGGTCCCCTCGAAAAGTCACTGGCGACGCTTGTGTTTTGGACTGTAGATGCTACATCTATGTTGAAGGCGGGTGCCACGACACCGAGCAGTATGCTACTCCGGATGATGAAGGATGGAGGCGATTATGACGACCATGATGATGTTTACGTTGATAGATTGCTGGTGTTGCGAGTAGTGATTTGTCGCAGTTGTAGGGGTGCTGATGCCAATGTTCAGTTGTAAAGGTTCTGTTGTCACGGCTAGTGTCAGTGGCACACAATGACCATTGTTGGTGCCAACGGCCTGATGTGGATTGTCCAAGGTATGGAACAGCACGGTCGCTGATCTCACACTTCTAGCTTTAGGCGGGCGAGATGGGTTCGACACTTCCCTGGATTCGTACGTTGAGGTTTGTTCGTGTCTTCATTGAAGCACTTGAACGACAAGGAAACAAAGGAATAGAAGGATTGGTCTCCATGGCAGTAACGCTCGCAGGGAGTGATTGTGTGGATTGTCTGCAAGAGTTGCAGCTACAGTGCATATAGGTACCTCTTGGCATGCAAAACGATGCCTTTGCAAGAGGAGTTGCACAAGTTGTGAGGCCGAATAGCGACGGCAGAAGATGATCCCTCTGGGTCTGGGAACTCCTCCTTCCTTCCAGAAGGTTTTGATTGAATCCTAATGAGGGGAATCTGGTCGTCCATAAGGGCAACATCGAGACGAAGAAAAGGGCCTGATTGCACTGCTCTGGCCACATTCCATACCCACGGCGCACTCTAAACTCACTCCTCCAAAGGCGTGAGGGCCCACAGCATACAACCCAAAGTCCAACATAGTAGTTGACCATCTCAGAGGGAGGTGTGTTCTACGGTGCTATTTTTCTTGCAAGGGCTTGCCGACCCGGGATAAGGCAAGCCTTTCTTTCAGGAGTTGACAGGCCATATCCGAAGGAACTTACGAAGGAATACCTACTTGACTCTGGTGGAAGAACCCTGACTCCCAGTACCTCCGATTACTTGGAGGCTCATCGGCCCCAGAGATTCTCCTGCCTGGCGCCGAGCGTATGGGGTATACTCCGAGCGGGCTCCGCCGGGTTCGGTTCCTGGGAGAAGCTGCAGAATCACACGCGGCAGGTTGCGGGGAGAGGGAGAGTCTGCATGCATACTGGGTTTGTTTGTGTGTCACCGCCACCATCCGCAAAGCTCGCTGGTGTCGTCGTGGTATAGCTGGCATGGCCTTCGAGACTCATATCAGCTAGGCAGAAAATGCTTAGGCTCAAACTTCTGTAGGCAAGGAGCGAGTGAAGCGAGTCGAACTTCTCCCTTGGCTATATCTACAATGGGCACCTCAATCATCGTAGTCATCGTCATCGTTCTCATAATTATCATCTTCCTCATCCGCACCATCCTCATGATCCGACGTCCTCATCCTCCTCCTCAGCAGCCTCCTAATCATCCTGCTCATCCTCATCCTCATCCTCTCATCATCATAATCATCATCGCCATCTCCAACATCATCACCATCATTGAATCATAAGCAGCATCGTGATTATCCTCACCCTCATCATAGCCGATGCAGGCACGAACGTACAGATGGATCCATGCGTACATGCCCGCATGCAGGGGCACACATCCACATGACAGAGATAATTCAGAAATGTGAACACATGTTCGTGCAGGGTTGCGGACCTGCATGCATGCACTGCCGTAAGGTCCATTCTGGAGATCATGGGTGCCGGCTTTTACAGCGGTGAGCTGGGTCCCTCCACCATCGTCTCTTAGCTGCACAATCAGCACTTTTGGGCGAGGCTTTGCATGGAGACCCAGCGGCAGCGTTGGAAGTCAATGTTCATCGGGTTGCAGGTACCCGGACAGACACGAATCTTGGGGGGTAGGCTTTCGGGCCATGGGGTTTTGGCCGCTGGGCGCCAGAGCGCGTCCAAGGTAGGTGGGTAGACAATCAGATAGATAGACGGTAGACACGACAGAGAGAAACGAAGAGACAGAGAGAGAGAGAGAGAGAGAGACAGAGCCAGAGCGAAAGCAAGCATGAAGAAGCGTGGAAAGACGGGCAAAGAGTGAACGAAAGAGCGACTGTTCTTGTCGTCTGGCGATGTTGTTTTCCTCCCGAATCGAATCGTGTGCACCTGAATCCTGTGGCAGGTTGGCTCAGCTGCCTTCAATTTGCTGATCATCTTAGCAGCGAAAGCCTCGGCCGACCGTGCCCGGGAACAGCGAAGCTCTGTTAGCCACGGCAGGACTCTTTCAACCACCCAGTAAAGAATTGCGCGCCACGTTGTATAGCTGCAAACAGGCTCTCAGAAAGTGGGGTACCGATGTTCCGAGAGAAGCTGGTGAGGCCTTCGAATGTTCCTCTGTATCCGGAGACAAGGCTTCAACACAGATTTCTGTCGGCTAGCATAACCCACACGGTCGTTCGTGCATTGCAGTCGCATGAGCTGTCTGGAAGAAGAACTTGGCTGCCACACAAAGGTCTGCATAGTGGCCATTCCCGCCGGTGAATCGCGCGCGATTGAGCATATGCCCGCGGCCTGGAATCTATACATCCTCCATCAGGTTTACTGGATTGCTGGTTTGGTGACCAGTTGTGTTGAGGATGATTTGTAATGAAGGCTACAGCGTTTGAGCTTTGTAGGTGTGCTTCTCGCAGTATTAAGCCGGGGTCTGGTTTAACACCGTTAGCTTCCCCATGGGCTCCCCGGTCCGAAGCGCAACCAGTGTGCCAGGGAGGGATCGTCAGTTTCCCTGCCTTCCAGGTCTGTGTATCACGTCACGGTGCTCTTTGGGCCAGGAGCTCATCAGAGCACAAGCACGGAACCCCGAAGGCTTTTCCAATCTGCAAACTCGATCACGGGTTCACGACTTCAGAGTTCAATTGCAGTTTCGAGTGTTTTTGCTTGGTTGCGGGACCTGATGCGACAGGCACCAACATCATATTATCCTGGGACGGCCATAGGGACCGTGGAATTCAATGGTGGTACTGTAGTTACAATCATGTATAGGAGCTTGGACCCTGAACTCCGTCCCTAACCCTGTGAGAAGCCTGCAAGAACCTAAAACCTTACAGTGACTCCACAAAATCCTGGCCGGTTGTGAAAAGCCATGACAAGCTGCCAGTGCAGTTCTCTCGCCCGGCAGTGCTTTTTAACACCTCTCCAACATAAGTCGCTCCGATTGCTCTTGCCTGCAACCGAGGATTTTCGCGTATCTCTGGCTGCTCCTTATCGCACCCGTCCCGGGAACTGTGTGCTCTTGCCTAGGCTGTCGGTTCGTGGGTCTTGAGGGAGTTTCAGAGCTCATGCAGGCCTGTTGGATGAATGTCGAGGTACTCGCTTGAAATCATTTTCAGCTTGCGAAGGTCCAGGTCATCTCCCCGAATGTCGTCGAGATCTGGGAGGCAGCGGTCATTTTCGGATGCCTCCGCTCCGCTGCCCCGCGCAGAAACCAGGCCTTGATCACGTTCCTCATGTTCCCGACCCTCGTTGCGATCTCCTGGCTGGCCAACAAGGGGACACTGGGCTTCGGTTCCCGAGAGTTGACGTGGATGATGTGCTTTCGGGCAAGAGTTGTCGGAACCCTAAGGAAGCTCGAGTTTATGTCGCTGGAGAAGAAGTGTGCGACCCAGCTTTTGCCATGTCGCCTTTTACAGACAGGGCTCTGAGGGATTGAGGCTTGTCCCTCAACCTCCAGACAGAAACGCTCAGCTGAGATCTTAAGCCTCTGACCCAAGCGACCCGCTACTGTGCAGGTCCGAGGAGGAGACAGGTCTGCTGGTCTGGCCCTGAGTGAAGCAGGGTCCGAGTGTAGAAATCCGAAACCCAAACCCGGCCCAAAAAGACATATCATCACAGAGTGGCTGCCGACACGGAGACAGTTTCGCCAGGCCATCCTGTTAAGGGTCCAGCTAAGGCTTTGAAACATGGAAGCCCCAAGCTGCTGCGCCCTGAACCTCCTGGCACCCAAACCCTCCTAAACCCGTAAGATCCCAGTAAGCCCTGAATCCTGATCACGAAATGCCCGAAATCTTTGAGAAAAAACCGCTCGAAAGCCTAAACCGGGAGCCTCCAAAGCTAAGGGCCAAGAGTGCCTCCACCCTCCATTTTTTTTCAATGGCCCCTCAGGCCGCGTCCGTGGCCGAGCGCGAGCCGGTTCCGGCCACGAACATGCGGAAGAGCCGTTGCCTCGCGGACTCGTGGGGCCCACTTCCATAATAAAGGGGTACCTTATCTTGCGGTACGTATAATAAGGATCCTACTATTTAGGGTACTAGATAAGGGGTCCCTATTTTATTGTCGGAGCAGGGCATGGCATGGGGTTGGTTTCGACTCAGGAAAAGGCTTATAGGGGTCAATGGTGTGGTCTCCGCGCGCTTCATTTCAGCATGCTATGCAGAGCCTTGGCCCTGAACCCGAGGCCAGCATCCCAGGCTTCCGAATGCCACCTCCAGCGCCTGGCACCCGGCATGGAGGGCCGGGGATTTTGTGGAATTCCGGATCATTCGATCTCCTGTGTGTGCCCTCTAAGCCGAAACTACTGGAAGCCCGGAAGTAAATGACACAAACCGTGGCTGTGGCCCGTTTAACGCTGGAGCCAAAGTCGAGCTCCAAACCCCGGGGCACTTGCCCTGGCCGGGAGGTGGCGGGAACTCACCGCAGAGCCTCGCAGCTCAGCGCCACGCGGGCTCCCCCCCCGAGCGCGTCCGGAGAGGCGGAAGCCGTGCGATCCCGATCCTCCTGTAGGCTTTAAAGCGGGGTTTTCAGGAACTTTCAGAGGTTTCTCTTTGCGTGATTTGGGGGATTCGGGTCCTGACAGGTGCGCAGTGACGTGAGGGAGAGACGGCATGTGGAACGCAAGCGACGAAGTGGACAGCAGAACAAAAGTGAACCAGGGTGTCGCTCATCAGCATGCGACCCATCGGTCAGAGCCAGGTATTTCTGTTTCATTTGGTTCAGAATCATGCCTACAGCGATGCACACAGGTCATCGTCGCAAAGGCAGGACTCGACTGCACACCCTGAACCCCAGCCCTAAAGACGACAAGATACGACAAGCAGAAAGCCAGGCAGCACCCCCCAAAGAGGCAGCTGGAGGGCAGGAAGACCAGGCTCGGCTCTTTTTGCAGCTGGGATTTGGGGGTTGACACACGGCTTCCTTCGGCTCCCAACTGTAGTTTGAGGTTAAGCTTCGCTTTGTAGTTGCTAGTCGCTTTGCAAAGGGTTCCAGCTGCCATCTTGCGCATCCAACCCAAGCTCACTCCCCAAAAAATTGGGACATGCCCGTTGTAGCCAGTTCTGGTTGAGGGCTTCCAACGTCAGACTCTCGACTTCTTCTTCAGCTTGGGTTTAGCTTCATAGTCCGCGAGTCCTCATCTTTCGAAAGCGCAGTAAGCAATACAACCGAAAGCAGTTAGCCTTCATCTTGGCTCTGTTTTTGAGATCCTCCGGCACTAACTCGTGCTTGCAGGTTGAGAAGATGTGGGGCTCTTTAGCGGAAGCTCGAAACCCCTGAGCAACCCAAAGCCCCGAACAGTTGGTTGGAACCGTTGACTTGTTTGTAAGGTGCCCTCACGGGAAACAGCCACAATCCTGCTCAGCCCGCATCTGCATTTCCCTAGAGAAGGGGTTCGAGTCTCCTTGCCCCTGTCAGCCCACTCCGGCTGGGTGCATGAACGGCAAGGCGACTCGGAGGGCTCTTTCGATGGCTTCAGGGCCTGTTTGGGATACGGTTTCGCAGGATCAGGAAGGCTCCCTTGAGAAGATGCGTGATGAATCAGGGGAGGAGCATTTCAAAGCAATCCTTTGTCTTTGAGGGTTTGTCGTTTGCCCGCCGCTCCTTTGAATCGCAATAGTTGCAATCGCCTCAAATGCCTAATCGCAGTTCACAACAAACCTTGAACTCCTAAAGCAAATTCCAGCAATTTCAAGAAAGCTTCATCGGATCGTCACAGGACGTCAATGATCCGACGACGAGCGAAGCTTTGGCGGCGCCGAATGGTCTGCTGCTGAATAACGGCCGCAAAAGCACGTCCCGTCGCTTCCGGGGGGTTCCTGACTCATCAGGCCCATGATTCTTCAGTCACCGCAAATAAACTCCGCAGTCGCTCAAAACTTCCAGCACGCTGTTTGAAGTTCCGATATCCAGGCGTCATCACGTTCAGAAGCGACTACGTGGAGGTGGGGCGCACTTCAGGTTCCCAGGCTTGGGACAAGTTTTGCTTGACATCAGGGCTTCCTTGTCTTTGATGGTGCGTGTCATGTATATCGAGGTGAGGTGTGAGGGCTTGGGCGTTTTGGGTTTGGGCTTCGGAGGCTTGTGGATTGATTGCGGAGAGCACGGGGGTGTACCGAGGTGCTCTTGGCTTTCGAGGTCTCGAGAGGGTGCAAAAAGCATGGGCCAGGTCAACAATGGGGAGACAAGCTGCACGGAGGAGGGCGGCTTTACGCTCCATGTGGAAATCCTCCGTCGGGTCCTCGGCTGGGATTGGGGGTTTAGGTTTGGCTTGGGGCTCTCTCTGAGGCCTATCTACCCCAACTCTGCATCCGAAGTGAACCGCCCTTGGTTGGGACCCAGAAAGATCACCTAAGCAGGGGCCTCGGTCCGAAAACCCCAGCGTGCACCCCGGCAAACGCCCAACCGCTGACAAAATCTGAAGAATTGGGCGGCGGATGGTGAAAACGCAGGGTCTTTCGTTTTTGATGCAAGCTTGGTCCCACTTCTTTGCAGGCTTCAACGGCTGCGAGGGGCGGGTCAGCTGCAAGATGGAGTTAGAGGGGCTCTCCGCCGTGCCAGGCTGATGCTTTGCTGCTCTTTCGCTGACTCGTACTATAATAACATCTAGTATATGGGCAGTTGTAAAAATTAGGGTTCCTTTTTGGGTACCCTAAATAATAGGTGCCATATTTTAAGAGGGACCCAACAAGGGACCATAATTTTGACAACCACCTATATCTATATCTATCTATATATATATATATGTCACTCGGTAGGAAAGCCAGCCTGTGATCCGGACTATATGTATGGTACCCTTCTGTTTCGATTGAAGGTGCTGCTGTAGAGGAGCATCCTTGAGTTTATTCTGTTACGGAACGTTTCATCCAGAAACAGGTTCAGCTGCTCATCCTCATATCCGATGTTGTTTCGGTGTTAATCAGTGCCGTGGCAGCTACACCAGCAGACAAAGACCTCGTGGTTCGTGGCTTATGGCTTGCATCGCAGATGTCTTGAGAGAGTCGTTGGCATTGAGGCCATCTACGACCTACGATTACCGCACTCGAAAGTGTAATTGCAGAAAGTACAGTATCCAATTATCCGCTCCCAAGTCATTCCATCGGAGCCGCTTGAGATGCAAATCAGATGTCCAAGTGGATCATGTCACAACAGATTGAGGGTTGACTCTTTGGGGCCCAAACCCTGGGCACTTCCCGTGCACCTGCATGCAGCGCATGTGCCGGTGCTGTGCCTACTGTAAGGAATTTGAGCTTCAAGCCCTGGAAAACACAGAATCAGAATCCCAAACAGCTGGCCTTGAATCCAACAGCTGACGGTGGGCAGGAAAGGACTTCTTGGAGCTCGTGGGGGCCCTTGTCGGGGAATGCTTCAGGGGTGAGGGGCAGAACAACTCCCAGATAAACAGTGAGCTCTAAAGCCTAAGACTAAAGGACTGGGAGACCTCAAGCCTCGATTGTAATGCACATGGGAGTTTCCGAAACTAGGGGACCCTTAGTACCCCAAATAGTAGGATCCTTATGTTAAGGACCCCAAAACAGGGTACCGCCATTTCGGAAACTCCCACATAAGCCGAAAATGCTTGGATTGGAGGTCGTTGCAGATCGGGGCTTCGGGCTGAAGCACTTGCGGGGCAAAACGTGAGGTGTTGCCGTAAGGTATACTGATCAGGTTGCTATGCGGGGCAACGTAAGGGTTACTTCCCTAAACGGTGTGGACCATAACTACCAAACCCACAGAAGTTTCATCCAGAGTTTATTTGCCTTGACCCCAACCCCGAGGCGGATAACCAGCTCGTCTTCGAGTCTGGTGAGACGTCCAAGCAGGCCGATCCAGAGATTCGGGCTGCTTTTTGGGTTTTGCCACCCTGCCAACCTGGACCTGTCAAGGGGCCTATTGCAGCTGTTTCTACTGCTACTACTATCACCACCACTGCAACTAATATTGCTGCGACGACCACTACTACCGCTACTGCTCCTGCTGCCCGAGAACGCCGTAAGTACCTACTCAAACCCTTCCCAAGAGCTACGAAATGGACAATTACAGAATCATTGTCATCAGATCCATGGTTGCTTGAACTATAAGATCGTCACCATGATGACTACGATGCATTCATTTGTGAAACCACAAAGATCGTCCAGAGTCTACGCTGGTCCTTGCTCTACCTCCAAGCACAAAATTCCGTAAATACCGCGGCGTCACATACACGATCCGCGCCTGCTACTAGCCCTAGTACTCGTACGCTAGTACTACTAGTGCTACTGTTCAAGACTGGTGGCTACGTTGGAAGAAACACTGTAGTGAACATTACTTCTAGTCCGATGCCAGGTCCTTGTAACCCTTTGGCAAACCATCCGCGAAAGCTCCAGGGAAGTCTTGGGCTAGTGGAGAGATCTAGAGTTCTACAGTCCATGAGCAGGGAATCATATATATATATATATGGTTCTTAGTATTATCATTATTATCTTCAGGTCCCGGTGAAGATCCTCCAGCAGCGCCCTGAAGAGCCCGACGATCTCCTGCAGCTGGTGCTCTCGGAGGTGGGTCGCCTTGGGCCCTCGAGCTGAGAAGCAAGGGCAACAAGGAGGGAAAGGGCCAAAAAGGAGCCAAAATTAGAGTCTTGTTGATGTGAAGACGAGCAGACCTGACAATCAGATGATGGGAAGCAGTCAGAACCAAAAGAAGCACAACCAGTCCCACAGGCACGTCTATAGTTCTGCAGTAATGCTAGTGGACGCATGACTGGTGTTATCTGTACTCGCAACAATAACCACACAGTGCCACTGATACGGATTGCATAACCAAGAGAGACAATCTAAGTAGCGACGATGAGACATCATCGCCAACATATGTTGCAACACTTAAACAAATGACGCTGAAGAAGATACAGCGTTAGTGCGAGTCGCATTCGAGCACTTGTAGGTTCTGAGCAATGACAGCGGTGATTGGAACCAAGCGCAATAGACATACCATTGATGTACGGAAGTACGTATGGTCATTGTGCTTGGCATAGTCTTGGAATTTGCAACGGTTGCAGACACGGTCGTTATTCACAAGCGTTAGGACTGATAATCTTACACATCGGTTATAGCTGCAGTAATAGGACGGGTAAACCTACTGCAGCTAGAAGTGCTGGTGCTAGTCCTTCTTCTGCTGCTTGCTGCAGCTGCAGCTGCTGCTGCTGCAGCTGCTGCCGCTTTTCTTCATTCTTCTCCTCCTGTGCACCAACATCCCCGGATCACGACCCAGCACCAGACAGTGGACTGAAGTTTGGGTCTGGGTTTAGGGGTTCGGGTTCCGAGCCCCAAGAGAGCATAGTTTGCTGACAAAAGTCGTCGAGACCCAAGCCTGAACCCCTACGAACCCAAAGTTCCTAAACGCTCCACCCCAAGTAAGAGCTGGCATGAGGTCGAGGGACCGGAGGAGGGTGGGGTCATGTTCAACCCTCACGACGATGGTGGCCGTGAGTTCGGGCCCCGAGTTCCCTACTATCGCCACCGAGACTATTGTTTGCTAACATGATATTGGCTCGCGTTAGGTAGCATTACTATGTTATACTGTGATACGGTATCATGCTGTATTATGTGGTATTATGTTATTTGGTGCCCTACGATATTCTACTCTGTTCTGCTCTACTATGCTGTATGCTGCTCCTACTCCGTAATCGTACCCTGCACTCCTGCTCCTGCTGCCAGTATGGTGCCGCTGTGCTGTTTGCAGCCAAGGGTAAAAAATCCACGCTCGCACTTGCTTGATGATAAGAAAGCCGAGACAGACTCGTGTGATAAGTCCTGACTCCGCGGGCAAAAGTGTTCGTCTCATGATCCGCCTTGTCGTTGTCGCACCTGGCACTGCGGACCATGCTGAGATCTGAACGCCCCAATACCGGGAGCCCAAGGATGGCGCTGCTGACCATCGCCATCAAGAACAACCCAGAGCCCCCTCTCACAGAAAGGCGCGGCCAACACGTTGCTTTGGGGTTCGGGCTTTCGGTTCGGCATGTTGCGGTGACTGAGCCGTCCGCACGTCTGGCAACTAACAAGCTGAGGCGCGCATGAAGAGCAATTCCTCAACCCAGCAGTGTGCTCTAGACTAGCCTAAACCCAAAAGCTCAAGCTCAAATCCAGGATCATCGACCCTGACAATTTCAGGCGCGGTTTGGAGGCCTGCCTGTTTATGTGAAGGTCCCTGCGCCTGCATAGCACGTCTCCGTGTACATGAGGTTTGAACAGCACTGTCATAACCCTCTTTGGGTGGTGTTGAGTCGTGCCGATTCTGTGAGTCTTGCTGCGAAGAGTGCGATTTTCTATCATTGATTCGTTTTTTGTGGAGTTTCCTACCGTCCTTTGGAAACCTGTAACTGTATCTTCAGCCACAGAATCTGCTGCACATGAGGGGCGGAGGGTTGAAGTTCTTCAGCGCCTCGATGCTGGAATTTTCCAGACTTCCAGGAGTGGAAGGAGCAGATCCTCAGCTCCATCAAGCTGGAAGAGCCCGAGGCAGAGGAAAATGAGGACCCGCAAAGGGCTGCGGGCGGGCCATCAAGGTTTCTGGTGAATTCTGCGGATGCTCAGAGACTCCGGGCTTCTCTGAACTTTCGCCTGCGTTCAGTGCGAACCCTAATTTGCCCAAATTACACCGGACTCCCCGTACCCCACAGTAACCGCTACACCACGGACCCTACACCCAACACCCCAAATCTTCAAGAACAAGCCCTAATCAAGCCATAAACTGGCCCTGAACACTTAAACCCAAAACCACATCGTGAAACTGCGTTGGACGGACCCAAATCCTAGTCTAAACTAGGGCCTAGGGTTGTTTCAAGGAGCCTCCCAAGCTCGGTCCCATGGACTACGTCCTCTTCGTGGTGGGCACGGGGCCCCGGCAGGGTGCACCGAGAGGGGCTGTGGGAGCGAAGGGGTTGAACATCTGGGGCTTCGGGCTTTAGAGGGGCTTTGGAGTTTAGGGTTTCTAGGACTCTAGGAGCTTTTGGTTCTGTGGTTCGGGGCTTTGTTTGGGTTTTGGGATTGCGACTTTCAAAGTTAGGGGCTGGCTTCAGGGCTTCAGGGTGCTTCATAAAAGGGCTCTCAAGGTTTACCTGAGTGTATGGTTCGTGTATTCTTTCACATAAATCAGGCCGCCCTTTCTGGGTTGCTGGTCTTGTGAGATCCTGATGTCCACCCGGACAGACAGTTCACAATCCGATGAAAGCCCGAAGCCGTGATTCCACCACTCCTAGCAGCCCAAGACCTCGAAAGCTCAAACCTATAACAAAAACCCAAGACCCGATAACTACGTTCGCACCGAACATGCAACCGGAACTGCTACGTGATGGCCGAGGGGCGTGGGATCAGATGGCCAAGACCTGCAACTTTTTTCCGAAACCACAATCCACAACCCCGACCCGGGCCCACTTTGCCAGGTCTGCCTTTCAAAGTTTTCTTTGGCTTGGTGTGCCCACCAGCGTGCTGGGCTGGTTGCAGCCTTAACCCTTTTTGTGGAGTAGCTCCTCGAGCCGAAGCAGAGAGCATCCATCCATCCTGCCGTGCATTTTCGGAGCCCGGCAAGGGCCGGGCAGATCTCAACTCGCAAGGCGACGATGTATCTTCGCATCTATCTCAAGTGGCTATTTCAAACGCATAGTAAGAATTTAGAGCGTCTGTGCATTTGTCCCTATGTTCATCTCTTTGTTGGTTCTTGAGTCCTAAAACCATGCTTGTCGTCATGCTTGTATTTGTTCCTGCTGCAACCATCGCTGTCGTCATTGTGGCCATTCCGCACTTGCTGCTACGATTATCGTTCGCATCGTATCATCGCGATGACTGTCATCACACCTTTGGTACATGCAGCCGAGAGGCAGGGAAAAGGAGAGGAGAATGAGAGAGACAGGGCGCGGACGAGGGAGAGCGGCAGAGCGGCAGAGCGGCAGAGCAGACGAGCCGAAGAGCGGCAAAGGACAGAGAAAGAGAGGTATCAGAGTCAGGGAGAGGCAGGGAAATGCTCAGGGGTGCATGAACAGAGTTGGTGGATGCCAATCACTTCTGTACTGGTCCGCCCCTGCGAACATATCTTTGCGGAGCATGCCTTAGCCGCTTTCGAGGCTGCATTCCCCGACAAAAGCTTCGCTCTAGCTGCAAGCGCTTAATCTTTTTGCGTCACCTGGGGATGTAGACTGAACAAGAGGCCTTATTTCTGTTTACGGCATCTGTCTGAGGGATCACGCTTTTCCTCTGCTATTGTTTTGTGTTATACTTCCAGCATCGAGATCACCGAGCCATGAACAATGCTTGTTTACCCTGCGGGGGATGTATCAAGAAGCGTCTGCAATCGGAACGCGTGAGCTCACACACACCTTCCGACAAGCCCGAAAACGAAGGGTTTGCGGCCACGGGGGCTTAGCTTACCCCTTAACCCCCTTATGGCCGAGATAAGAAGAGAAAGCGATGGAGAGAGACGCAGTGAGGAGTGAGAGTTGCATCTCCACAGAGCCGAGGCGGGTACTTGCTCTTTGTGGTGGCGCTTTTCTGGGTCGGAGTGACTTGGCACGGTCCTGCGGGTCGATCAACGGGCACCAGCCCCCGAATCTCCACGTCTAAATAAACAGCCACATAAATGCACACACACACACATATATATATATATACATATATGTACATGTTATGCATTCTAATATATATGTATATATATATATATATATATATATGTAAAGAATATACATACATATACATATACATATATATATATATACACAATATATATATATATATATATATATATTTATATTTATATTTATACATACATATATATAGCGCCAGGACGAAACTTCGTCGCATCGGTAGGTCTGTACTTGCAGACCCCTGTCCCCCACAGACTCCTTCACGAAGTCTCCACGTGAGGCCCGGACTGTGCACACCAATTCCTTCGTCGGAACAAAACAAGGTAGATGTTCATTTTGGCATAGAAAACTTCCTCCGCTGGCCATGTAAAATGCATATCTGGGCACTCCGAGTCGTCCTCCAACAAAAGATATTTTAGTGCGACAAAACTTTCATCCTGCTGATGTGTATGTATATATTCATATATGTTAAATATATAAAGGTACAAATAAACAAATGAATAAGTACAAAGAAATATATATATATATATATGTACATACCTATACATATACATACAATTACATACATACATATATATATATATGTATGTGACGCACAACCATACATGTATATGTGTATGTATATGTAGATGTAGATGTTGGTGTGCGTGTGCGTCAGTGCTTGAAGTTGGGAGTCCAAGGCCTTAAATACCCCCAAGCCTTTAACCCCACCATTTGGAGCTAAGGCGTTTCAGTTTTGGGTGTTCAGAAGCCGGTACGAGAGGGAAGGTGAAGCAGCCTTTAACTTCAAAGTGCGAACCCCTGTTTTTTCTGCAGCTCCGAGTCGTAGACGAGAGAAGCCGAAATCAAGTCCGAGCTTCCAAACTCGACAGGAAATTTTGACCAAAGGCCCCAAATAATTAAAATCCTGAACTCTACGCCTCTACACCCTGAGCCTGAAACCCGAACAACATGCCGAACGCTACACCCTAAACTTGAAACCCGAAATCCGAAGCCGCGTTCTCTACAGGCCGTCACTGCTCTCATCAGTGACCTCGCGTCGCTTTTTGGCTGCTGTGCAGGCATTTTGGGATCCAGTCTCAGGGCCGTCTATTTTGGACTTTCACGGCTTTGGTTCGGAATTTGAGGCTGAGTCGAGTCGCGGTTCTTGAGGCTCCCACCCCGTACCCGGGTCCTGGAGGCTTCCAGGTCCTTCTGCGAGTTTCAAGTTGTTCAGAGGGCGTCGGGCCTTCGTTGAGGAGTTTTCGATGTTGAGGCCAGTTTTGTTTCGTCTTTCTGAGTCAGTGGAGTGGTCCGCGACAAGAAAAGAACCTCCCCCACGTGACAAAAACATCGCCTCCGCCGAAAAGCCATCGAGGAGACCAATAGCGTCCCTGGTTGAATCGGAGAGCGCTGACATCAAAACGCCATCTTTCAAGCTGTATTGAAGGGAGTCCTGCAGATCTTGCAAAGTCAGCATCCTAAAATTTTGATACTGCTCGTCAGGCCTCCCAGATGCCACGACGGCGATCACGATCGTGGCTATGGGCACGTCGTTGCCAGGACCCAAGTGTGTTTCAGCGGGTTTTTTTATTCCCTCTTCTCATCCACTCAAGTACCTTCAAAGCATTGAGGCCAGCCTCCGCTGCACCGCTACTCCACTGCCACTGCCACCACTACTATGTCTACTCCCCTCCTGCTGCTGCTCCCGCCGCCATTGTTACTGCTCTGACGATGACATGGCCGCAGCAAGACAAACCACCTCATCTCTGTGAGGCCGGACACCTTCGCTTCAATGGCGGCCGCCGCCAAGGACGACACTGCCGAGACTCGGCTCGTGACATGGTGAGATGCAGCGTTCAAGGTACCTTCCGACGAAGCTTGTGAGTGTGGTGATGATGATGGGAATCTAAGGGACTAAGTCTAGTTTCGTAAACTTGTGTTATGGGCAGCCAGAGAATGCCAAGGACTCTTCCATTGTCAATGCCCTCGGCTCAGATCTTGAACTAAGGGCCCAATTCGAGCGCGAAATCTGTGGCACCAAGGTCATCGTTTGCGTGGTTTAGGTTTTGGGGGATTGCAATTACAATGCTCCCCAATGCCGGCGGGTTGCGGGACATCTGGGGCGGTACCAGCGTTCAGGGATCGGAAAGAAGCTTCAGTTGGCGAACAAACCGGAGTCAGGGTGAACAGGGCGGGCTTTGCAGCTCAGCGCAAAAGCAGGGTTCTGATGGGTTCAGGATCTCGAGGTTGTAGAGTTGTAGAGTTATAGGGGGTTCAAGACAGCGACGGCAGTGAGGTGACAGGCAGCAACTCTGTGAATGTCTACCTTGGCATTGGCATTCCCTGGTTGGCTGCGGCGCTCTACTGGACCAATGTGACCGGCCCAGACAGGTTTCTTCTTCTGAACCGATTGGGGATCTGGCGTTCTGGTGCTCAGGGTGAAGGGCAAGCCACGCAAGTCTCATGCTTGACGGCTTGGTGTGGAACTTGGTTGATTGGGCTCAAGGCATAACCGCAAAGGCCCCGACTCCAACTCTCGATTCCGAACTCTAAGACCTGACACACGAAACCCAGATAGTACGCCCTGGACGCTAAACCTGAGATCCCTCATCTTCAAGACCCCCAGCGCCGCAAACAGAATACCCTGGTAGTTGAGCTCCTTTCCCAGGGGCCGGTGGATGCCTGGAGGTTGCGGTATGCGGTGCGAGACTCGGGCTCCTTCTGACGACCAGCTTCTTCTTGACGTGATTGCTTTCATTGTTGCCAGTAGTGTTACTGTGTTTGCTGATGTCATGGTTGCTATGGTGTACGTGGACGGTGATGAGGTTGATATTGATTAAACCCATGATGATGGTTATCATGATGGCGAGTATTGTCATCAGTTTCAGATTGGTAGGTTGTCGGTCTCGTGTAATACAGTAGCTACGGGCTACTGTACTTGTTGTTAGAGAACTGGCTTCGGATGGAGTATAGCCATGAAAATTGCCACAAGAAGTCCTTCTTAAACGCCTTCCGATCCTTCTTACAGAGTCCGAGTTCCCTGTTTTTAATGGCTAATTGGTTTTCTTGGTCCTTGAATGTTTGCTCGTGTTTTTCTCTAATGTTCTGCCTGTTGTTGGCATTCTTCCCACGAAAAATCCATACATGCCAACGATCCTTGCAATCAGCTGAAGATCAAATTAGCAACTCTAGGAAGCAATGTGATGAACATGACTGACAACGATCATCATTCCTCTTCTTCGCCTTCAACCCGGCGATGGCAATGCCCTATTCCACAGCGTATCTTCATTATGTTCCCCGTAGCATCCGTATCTTCTTTGGCACCCATTATGCTGTTACGGAGACAGCCCCATCCAGACCCATGAATAATGACGAAACCGGAACATGCTGAACCCGGGGTGCCAACTGCCAACACAGGGCAAGCAGCATTCTCGAAGAATCTTGTTGCATGCTACTCGCGCATCCTGCGACGTCATTGTCATACCTTTACATTGGCTTGTCCCCAAACCTGGGGCGGGCTATACTATCATAGCATATCTTAGCGGGAAACTTGGTTGACATGTTCTCAGGTCTTCAGGCTCTGGCTAAGTTTGAGGGTCCAGGTGGTCGGCTCTTGTTGTGTCTAGGTGTCACCGTCTTAGGACTTTCGCGGAAGGATCTAAGTTGTGGACAGCAAGACGACGCAAGGACCTCCCAGACGTCTTGAACAACTATCCGAACGGTGCCTTCGTCGTCAAGGCACTCCCAGCATAAATAGTCTTGAGTTAAGCCCTGTGGCATGTTCATCTAGATTAATCCCTACAGGGGATCGCCAAGAATCCTGCAAAGTCAAAGAGCCGTCAAGAATCCTGCAACGTCAGAGGGCCCCAAGTGTGGATAGCGAGCACAGCTTGGCCTAGGAGCTGGACCTAATGCCCAGGGCAGGTTAACCTTCGTTTGAGGTGTCCGCAAACCTAAGTGGCTGCATGATGCTGCGCAGTTTGCCCGGGCTTGTACGTCTAGGATCGTTGGAGCAGTTTTGCAGGCAATGCAGTTGGAAGGAGTCCTCCACAAGCTGAGATGTAGTCTGCAAGTCTGGAGATCTGTCTCGGACGTCAGACCTGCCAGAGCGCAAGGCTTTCCGGAGTTCTTGTGAGAGTCTGGGTCAGTGACACTGTGCGCAAGCAGATGTAAATCTGTCAGGCGTTTTTTCGTTTGTGTTTTTGGGTTGTACCATCATCGCCCTACCAGCTGCTGGGCTCAGTGGGTCCAGGAGTCCCGGACCTTTCGACCGCCTGTCGTAGCCGCATGTTGCTTTTGAGAAACACACCGCGAATAACAATAAGATGTATAAAAGCAGCGAAGCTCCATCTTGTCGTTTGCCTGTCTTCCTCAGATGAGAACGAAGGCCGGTGCCCTTGGCTTCAGCGTCCTCCTCTTCAACTGCGTCGGTGTCGTTTGCCTGGCCTGGCACCCGGCAGGGAAGCGCGTGTGTACTCGTAAGTTAATGCCAATGCCGCCCCCGGAATCTCAAGAAAGTTCCTTCCCAGCCTCTGAACCACAGAACTCAGCAGACTACAACACTAGTCACTAGTAATCTGCAAGTAACCTGTAATACGATAAGTGAGGCCTAAGCAGATAGAGAGAAGAGCAGATGGACAGATAGATGGCAGGTTTTGGGACGACAGATGATCACGAGAATCCTGCAGTAGTCTACACATCATTATAGGTCTTTGGATGTCTTGGGGGGATGTGCAGTTGGGAGTAGTAGATCGGGTTTCCAAGTGACTTCCAAACCTTTTGACAGAGCAAAGCAGCTCGAACCCAAGTTTTCCAGATAACCGTGTCGCTGACAGCCGATGTCGGCCACAGGAAAATAAAGCAACCTCGCGACCATCAGCCGAAGGCCTCTCGTCCAAGGCATTTGCCGGTGTCGACAGCCAGACCAAGCATCATGAGCATCAGCGACACTGGCAATGCCGCAGTCAAGCTGCCGGACGCTAATGCTCATGATGCTTGCTCTGGCTGTCGACACCGGCAGTACCGTGGTCGATCGGCCTGCCGCTGATGCTCATGACGCTTGGTGGCTTTCGACACTGGCAGCGCCGCTGTGCTGCCTGCCCAAAGCCACCAAGCATCATGGGTATCAGCGGCAGGCCGCTCGACCACGGTACTGCGTGTCGACAGCCAGACCAAGCATCATGAGCATCAGCTGCAGGCAGCTTGACCGCAGCATTGCCAGTGTCGACAGCCAGACCAAGCATTGCAGGTGTCGGAAGCCAGACCAGGCATCATGAGCATCAGCGGCAGGCCGCTCGACCACAGCATTGCCGGTGTCGACAGCCCGACCAAGCATCATGAGCATCAGCTGAGGCAGCTCGACCGCGGCATTGCCAGAGTCGACAGCCACACCAAGCATCATGAGCATCAGCGGCAGGCCGCTCGACGACGGTACTGCAGGCGTCGACAGCCAGACCAAGCATCATGAGCATCAGCGGCAGGCCGCTCGACGACGGTACTGCAGGTGTCGACAGCCAGACCAAGCATCATGAGCATCAGCTGAGACAGCTCGACCGCGGCATTGCCAGAGTCGACAGCCACACCAAGCATCATGAGCATCAGTGGCAGGCCGCTCGAAGACGGTACTGCAGGCGTCGGCAGCGAGACCAAGCATCATGAGCATCAGCGGCAGGCCGCTCGACGACGGTACTGCAGGTGTCGACAGCCTGACCAAGCATCATGAGCATCAGCCGCAGCTTTCCAGAGCAAGCACAGTATTTCTTGCACCGTAGGTTGCTAATTTGTTGTGATGCCGGCAGTCACATCAAGTTATAGGGTGTTGCACGAATTTCAACTCATCCACGACATGCATGGCAAGGTCGTTCTGCGCGTCCGGCGTTTGGCGCTGGGTGGTGAGCTGGGCGGCCCCAAAAGCGCAGCTTGGGCGGGGTGCCCAAGGGTGCTTCTGCGGGCACAAACCGATATCTAGATGAATGACGTGTTTCTACAGGCGTCTATTTCGGACAGTTAGGCTCCCCGAATCCTTACAACTTAGAGGAATCGCATGCAGTAGATTCGCTGGTCAGGGATGCTGTGCTACCTTGCATGTTCCCAATGGAGATAGAATCCGAATCGCTTCGCAATGCACAATGCGCAAGAGTCTGCAGGGTTGTAAGGCTTGTTGACTGTGCCAGTACAGTGGAATCGTTTGCCAAAATGGCTCAGCCCGTCCACAATGTCGATCGCAGGGTGTATCAAACCCTAAGCCCGGGACGAACGCAATGACGGCGGCGTAGACGGACCAGTTGTAGTGGTGGTCGTGGAGCCTTTTGCAAGTCCGTGAAAACGGCTATTGCTCAAGCTTGCGCTTGAGGGGCGCGGAATCCAAAGCTTTCTGAGCCCCACGACTTCGATCAGAGATAGTTGAAAGCATCGTAATACTGGGCGAAGCGCAAAGTCTGTGTCATGACATACTGTTGGTGCGGAGGGCGACGTGCATCAGTTGTAGATTGTCGTGAGACGTTTCGAAGAAGCCTTGAAAGCCCGAAACCATCAAGCCGAAACCATTTTTAAGCCCTTGATGACAACCCGGAACCCTAAAACTGCTCACTGCACGGACACAGAACCCTGAAGCTGCAGGGTTGCTCCATTACGCTCTTCACTCTTTGGGCCGTCTACATCGCTTCGTCCATCTGGAGGCGTGATGTGCATGGAGTGCTGTTGCCTTGCATGGTCTTGGCTGGAGGAGTTTGAGCGGTTTTGCTGCTTCGGGAGTGTCACTGTCTAAACCCTAAACACTACATCCGAAGGCTTCAACTTTTTGAGTCGTAGCTGTTAATCTTTTTCGCTCGAGGTTGAGTTAAGTCAAATTGATCATTATTGTCGACATTATGTTCGCTGGAACACGCCGCCGGAAAGAGCGCCCTCGAACTTCAACTTACAAAGCGCCATGCTGTTTACACTGTGTCGCCCTTTCGTCTCACGAACGACAGCCCGAGGAGCCAGGACCCCTGAGCCCGAAACCTCAAATCGTTCAGCCGGTCTTAACACTTGCAGCCTCTGAACGTTCTGAGGCCCCCAGACTCCTCCCAGATAACAGGGGTTCCTTCCGCCTGCACCGGCAGGAATTCGTCAGAAGACGCGGAGGTTGGCAGACCCAGGACAAAAGAAGTTCAAAAGGGGTGCTTAGTATACACACTTACATAACTTATATGATACGAGATAAGATCACATGATCTGATATAAAGGAATACAACACGAACTCAGATACGTTCCATAGAAAATACACTGTGGTACGAATGCGTGAACATGTGCATAAATCGACCAGTAAGCCAGCGAGTAATGTGTCTCTGCGTTTGTATGTGTCTAGTGGATTTAACGCATACATACATGCACGTATACATGTGTATGTGTATATACTATGAAAATGTATACACACATATTGAAACCGTGTATATATATATATATATACATACAGCCGCAGTTCCAAGTCAAGGAAGGCGCCAATCGCTTGGTTAACATTCAAACCAGTGACGGTAAAGTAGGGCTGAGAAGAGGACAGGTCCTCATCTTGCCACTGACGGATATCAGGTCATGGTCATTCCGTGCGCCGTGCTGGCGGTCCTCGCTGTGATCGGCTAGGCTCTTGGAACAGCTTGCCCGTTATTCCACAACAGCTCGAGGCTTTCAAGCCTTGTCGCTGTTCTGGAGCTTTCCATATGTTGGAGATTCCGTTTCTCGCGGCATGTACATGCTTGTGCTGCTGGTAGGATTGTGGGTAGGGTAGGGCGTGCTTCAGTAAAGCTAACGTATGACAGAAGGGTTCTACCTGGTGCTACCACATATGCTCCAATGCCCGGCATAGGCATCGTACATGCATGTGCAGGTGTACATGAACACATATTGCAACACACACGCTTGCATCCATGTATATATATATATATATATATGTATCTACACACACATGCATCCGTGCATACACACGTACGCGCATACATATGTATGCGGGTACATACGCGATGCACACACCTACGCATAAGAAACGCAAGAGGCTGTACGCAACCTGTTAGCGGATCTCGGTCCCGTCAACCCTGTCAAGCCTTCCATGTCCAAAGTTCCCATATTGCATATATAGTTTGGTCGCATGTTGATCTACAGGTTTACTTCTTTAACGACACCCCGGGGATCCTGAAACACAACTCCCATGACTACTCAAGTCAGCAGACTAGTTTTAAACGCTTCGCGTCGTCCGCCTCGGCGCGGCTGTGGTGCATTGTTTCGGAAAGCAGCAACCCGAAAGCCTACCAAGGCCCATAGGCCTGAAACCCGACAGTCTAAACCCCAAACCTTAAAGCTTAAACCAAACCCGAAACCCTAGACCGGGAGAAAGCGCAGATCCGTGGGGCTCAATCAGCCAGATTTAGATTTGGTAGAGGGGACTCAGAGGTGGGGAATAGAGGGAATCCGTATAGGAACCTCTGACCGCTTCGGTCGGGGCCGAGCCGAATTGCTTCAGAGTTACAGCGTCCAGGCACATCAAAGTCCGAGGGTGCCACATGATTTTTGCTAAGGCGGCGTCGCCTTTGAGCTGTCGGGCAAGTTCCGGTATGACCCGGCGGCAGCGCAGGATCGTCGGTTTGCCGTGCAGAACTGAGGGAAACCCAACCCAATTCGTCCCAAATGCCTTACACCCTGAAATTCTGAAACCCAACCCGTCACTGCTAACCTCCAGGCAGAGGTACAGGAAGCTGATGGCCAAGCCTTACTCCCCAGTCCCCAAGCCGACAACGCACACCCCTTGATATCTTAATGGCCAAGACGAGAGGAGTGGCATGGACAACAGCAGTAGTTGCCACAGAAGACAAAGCATTGATAAAATCAAAGTTGTTATAAAGAGTACAGTATAACTCTCTCTTGGGATCCAGCAAATATGACCATTGCCATCAGTTCTTATGGTGAAGAGCAATGCTGAAGACGGAACCGACAGCCAAGTTCAACAAGTTTATCTGAGCGGCGCCCATGGCAACAGCAATTGCAGCATGAACACTATAGAGTAGGTAGAGATTATGCTCACGAAGACACATCTAGCTTCCAGCCTGAATTCCTCCCAACCCGCTTTGACACCAACTGCCCCCGACGCCCTTGAACCCGCGGCTCCAGGAGAAAAAGACAGCCCGGCAGGAGCTTTTGGGTGGGCAGGGAAGCAAGGGTTTAAGGCAAGGACTGCTCTGGTAAGATCTTGGGGCTTAGGGCTTCGGTTTGAGGCATTAGGCCTTATGTGCAGACTATGGGGTTCGAAATGACGGTTCAGGATTCACGGGATGGGTCTGGTCGGAGCACCCGTGCATCCGAAGCGCTAAAGATGGCAGACCGAAGGAAGGTTCTTGCGCTTCCGTCTAGATTTATATAGCCGCTCTGTGACTACCGTACATGATACGCCGACAACCCTGGTTCAACATGTTTTGAGCCTGGTTTGAGCCTGGTATCATGCAGGAGACTGGAAAGGACAACGGCCCGACGGTGATCTTGAATGTCGAGGAGCATTGCCGTCCAGTTCCGGGGTGGAGGGACGCTGAACCCAGAGGTTTTCGCATACATCGCACTCCAAACAGCAGTGATAAAACTGTGCCCTGGAAAGTCTGAAGCTGTGTGTTGAAGGGTCGATTTGGTTGCGGCATTCGGGATTCAAGGCGATTGTTTCGGGCTTCGGGGTTTAGTGCTTAGTTTCGCTTTGCCATTCCTAGTTGTGTTGAACACCACAAGCGCCAGAACACTGTGAATGATTAGCTGCTTCGTCGCCACCACAATCATCATCACCGTCATCGTGACAATTGTCATCGTCGTTCACACCAATCTCAGCAGAATTACATAGAAGTACGACTTTGATCGTCACCATCATCACTGTGATCCTGGTCCTCATGCTACTTGTCCTCATCGTCATCGCCATCGTGATCACCACAGCAAGTAGCACATCGCCAGCAATCATCCATCAAATACATCCGTAGTATGAGCCGTATGATAGGTATTGCCTTGCCGTTGATGCGGATAACGTCAGTGGCAATGCTAGCACTTTTGTTGTCAGCAGCATTGCAACAGTCCGTGTATGTATGTATATATATATATATATATATGTATATATATATATATATATATATATATGGAGAGACTCGGAAGTCTAACGGGTAGCAGGGGCGTTTAGCACTAATGTGTATACCGTCACGAAAACGCGAAGTGTATGGACGAATGACCCATGACATCTAGAATAGTAAAGAATTCCGCTACTTGAAGGATGGACAGACGTGTTCCAATTAGAGGATTAGACAAGGGTCTGCACTGGGAAGAATCTTCATGAAGACTGATGAAACCAAGTGACTATTGTGATCAGACTTCGATTGACAGAGTGATGAGATGCACTGCCGCTGCTGTGTTGGTGATGGTGGTGGTCCTGCTGCTGCTACTGTGGCTGCAGCTAACTATGACCACGGCTATCGGCTACTGCTATACCGCTACGCCTGTACCGCTACCGCTATACCGCTCCCGCTATACCGCGACCGTTTTCCCGCTCCTGCTTCAGCGCTACCGCTACACCGCTCATGAACTTATGCACTGTGGAGGACAACGGGAAGCTGGACGCGAAGAATGTCGATGCTGGCCTTGAGCCGAAGATGCCGGGGCCTTTCGGGTTCCTGGGTGGTGGTGGGGGTTCCATGAGGGGATCCTGGGCTCCCCGAGCTCTTGAGCTCAATCCTGAAGCCTGATCCTCTAATTCACAAAAGCCCGAAGCCCGGGTTTTTGGGTCAGGGTTCAGGACTCTGTACTAGGCTTGTCTAAGGGTCGACCTCTTGGGGCTTCGTACAACACTTCGAGGATTTGGGGTTTAAGGGAGTTGGAGTTTGGGGTTCCATGGTAGGGTTGCCGGCGTACGGTCTCCGCCCGAAACCCTGAACCCGCAATATGAGCCCGAAAACCCAGGAACCTCAACTTAAGCTCGAAGCCCCAAAGCCCGGCCGGCAGGATCGGCGCATCGGAGGACATGATCGTGCCCAATGCGCTGGACCCCCATAGTGTGGGCGAAAAGCGACGCAAGCTTCAACAAGGGTATAAGGCTCTTTCATGCGGCCTTGGGTCTCCGAGCTTCTAGTTTGCCGGTCTAAGGCTTGGTAGACACTCCCGGAGTGTAGGGGGGAAGGGCAGTCATCGGTCCGTTGACTCTTGCAGACGAAGCCTTTTAGATAGTTGGATGCGTAGTGAGTCAGTCCGTCAGTTAGCTAGAGCCGGGCACAAATCTGATGCAGACCCGAAGCGCTTTGAATCTGTCCGAACACCAAGCAACCCAGCACTCACCCAAACCAAGGGCAAACGATTCCAGAACACTGCAGAAGGACCCTGCAATCCTTGGCATCCGCAAGAGTTTATGCACTCTATAAGCAGAGTACAACTCTCGCAGAACCTCCAGCTCGATGAGGCAAGAGGCGCCCATGGCCGAGAATGCCAATGCAATCGGGGCGGGGGCCCGAGCACTCAAGCACAGCTATGGACAGAGGTGGCGGTCTTCTGGTTGTTGTTGTTGCTGTTGCTGCTGGTGATGGCAGTGGCGGTGCTGTGGTAGCGTTGGTGGTACCTACTGTAGTCGTGGTGGTGGTGGTAGTGGTAGTGGTAGGACCAGGACCAGGACAAGGACGGCGAGGACGAAGACTAGGAGCATGAATAGGACTAGGGCTAGGACTACCGTAGACTAGGACCAGGACGAAGACGAGGATTCGGAGTTGGAGTAGGAGTTGCAGTAGCATTAGCAACTGCAGTCGAATCGCAGTAGCGGTAGCAGTAGCAGGAGCGAGAGCATCGACCCCGCCAGCAGCACCAGCAGCACCAGCAGCACCAGCAGAACAAGCAGCACCACCAGCACCACATTCATCATCATCATCATCATCATCATCATCATCGTCATCCATCATCAGTTGAAAAACGAACGTTAGGGGCAATATTCATAGCAGTAGATGACAGATTACGGATAGTGATCAGAACGTCAGTGTTGTTCATGTGCGCGTTACCTGTGGATAGATAGTTTTTAGCTCTGGATCATGCCGCTACTTCGTCAAGTTGAACTGTCATGTCCTTTATGGATCCGCAGTTGGGTCATTCAGGTTTCTTGTTTTTTTCATGGCTGAAGTTTGAGCGGCCGCTACTTGCCAAAGGCAGTACAAGCAATGCCTTGGCATGCATGTGGTCTTCTACGTATGGACCTCGCGATGTTCTGTCGCACCATACACTGCAAGCTTAGACATTCTAAAAAAATACACGGCAGATTAGACCAGACAGGATAGCGGTGCATGAGAAGAACACTAATGTGAATATGTTCGGATGGCCGATATCAGGTACAGTACTGGTATCCTTTGTTTGGAGCTTGCTCCTTCTTTTATCTACATGATCCACAAACTCTGTTGCATTCATGTGGAAAGACGAAGGACTCCTTTGAGCCCGCAGCGGAACCGGCGCCAGCGCCCTCGGAGCCGGTCGAGATGCCACCTGCGCCGGAGGAGGGGTTTTGAGAAGTCGGTCGGATTAGTCACCCTCCTCAATTTTTGATATTTAGGTGGGTCTCGATGTAGGGGTTCCAGGGCCTTGTAGGGATTAAGGCTCAAGGTTCCGAGGCTTTCAGGGTTTAGGGCAGGGAATGGATATAGTTTGGGGGTTCGAGCAGGTGACGACCACCCCTCCCACCAGCCCGCCACACCCCTCCTTGCTGTCCAAAGCAGCCAAACGTGCTGCAAATCCGGTGCCCCCCCCCTCCGCAACCCCCCCTTGCAGCTCTTGCGAGGTTGCAGGGGGACATGCGCTTTCCGTCCGTCACTCCGCGGGCTTTGTCTGTAAGGAATTATAGAGGCTTCAATCAATGATTGGTAATGTTATTTCTAGGGGCACCCTATAGTATTGCAGCACAAGAAGCGCCCTCACAACCCTGCTCGTATTTTGAAGGCGCCTGTACAAGCCGCGCAGCAGTGTATTTTAGCATTTTAGCCTGGCCTTAAGTTGTGTGCCCGCCAAGAGAGGTGGGTTTCAGGCTTGTACGAAGTTTAAAAGCCATGAGGGAGGGAGCCGTCAGCCGGTTGCTGCAGGCGGCTCCCGCCGTCCCCGACGCCCAAGAAGGCGACGCCGTTCCCATAGCCAAGGAGGACGACGCACAGAGTCAGGTTAGTGGCTGGAACAGTTCTGCATATTCAAGATAAGGTCAAGCACGTTGCGAGTAAGGTTTCGCACGTGGGGCGAATGTTTAAAGTTCAGTGGCAGGGATTTACGCTGACACCACCTTTTCTGTGGGTGCAGCTGAAATTTGAGGAGCACACCGTAAGTCGAGAGCCCAGGTGAGAGCGATCGAACCTGTCTGTTTGGACTTTGGCAGGGATAGCTGTAGTGCTAAGCCTGCCAAGTAACTGGTGTGAGTGTGGAGCAGAGCCAGAACAAGCATACCAGGCATACGAATTTTCAATGCTGTCTTAGCTAAATACCAACAGACGCAGGAACGTGAGGCCATAGGGGTGACAGAAGTATTTGCATCAGTTGCACAAATGAAAACCATGCCGAACACTAGATGCATCAGTAACATTCTTCTACTGATGGCAACAACAACAGTTGAGAAGTAGATGAAGGATCAGGAGGGGGCTGTTCTGGTAAAGGCATTGGTGGTCTTGGTAGTGGCGGATGGCGGTGGTAGTGGTTTTGGTGCTGGCGACGATGGCGGTGGTGGTGCTGCTGATACCATGCAGCAGCCTCCAGATAGTACGTTTCGAGTATAAATCAGTAAGTCCGTGCAGACAATAACAGAAAGACGACGTGCAGATCTCGGACCCCAGGGTTCGTAGCTGCAGCCAGGAGCCTGCGACGCCCCCGGCCTCCCCAACGAAAGAGGAGGAGGTGGGAGACTGTGCAGGGCCGAAAGCCCTAAATTCACAGACACCCTTGTGCGACAGACAGCTGTAGATAGCGTAGACCTACCGTCAGATGTTGCACCCTGAGCGCCCGGGAGCCAGGGCGAGAAAAAGAAGAAAGGACCCAAAAAGTCCACGACAGCCAGACTCTCAAAAGCTCCGGCATGAGTGCTGGGCTCTACGTCGCTGCAGCTCGGGTTTGTAGATGTCAAACAATTAAGGAATGTAGCCGGCGGACTGCTCTGACAAAGTATGGGATTCAAACCCGGCTGATCAAAGCCTGTCCTTGGGGTCGGTCCCACAGCCTGAAAAGGGCTTAAGCTCTGTGGTGCAGCCTCTTCACAGTATCAGCGGATACGAAGTCTACATTCGGACCAAAGCTGCCGAATGACGACTCATTCACAGTAAAATCTGATGTAACGGCTTCCGCATGAGGGGAGGGCCCCTAGTTTCTAGCAGCAAGCCCTGAACCTTGAAGCACAAGGAAGCACGGAGAAGGCTCGACCAGTACGGTCTTCCTGCTTTGTGAATAAGAAAGACCATGTTGCTTTGAAGCTTCGAGAAGGGCCCGTGCAAGTGGGCCAACCCGAGGATGCCGCGAGCAAGAAAGCTGCGGCCAAAAAGAAGCCGGATTCGAAGGACTTGCAACTTACGAGATATATGGAGGTTCTGGTATAATTGCATTCCCCGTAGTTAGACTTGCATAACTTGCTGGTCTCATATCAGATGCGCTAGTTGTCAAGATAGCAGAGTAGCGTGGCATGTATGTGCAGACAGTCGCGCCGGCGCTGAGTGTGCGATGCATCTTGGCACATGTATACAGTGTCTATTCGTGTGGACAGGTACTGTAAGACAGACACATAATACGCATGTATCACTGTCTACCGCCCACCCGCCCTCCCGACCGGCCGACCGAATGATGGACCGAGCGAGGGACGCATCCGTCATCCCTGTCTCTATGCATGTATGTGTATTTGCAGGCACATGCATATAAATACATACATGCACATTTACGTGTATGGATATGTGAATCTTTGTATGTATGTATGTATGTACGTATGTATGTATATATGCATAGGTATATGTGTATGTGTATGCGTACGCATACGCATTTGCGTATCTGTAGGTGTATTGTTCCGTGTATGTGTATGTGTATGTATATGCATATGCATACTGTATATGTATATGTACATCTATATGCATATACACATGCAAAGATGCACAAAGATGCACAAAGATGCACAAAGATGCGCAGATCCAGGAGCCAAAAAAGTCCAAAGTCATCGAGCCCACGGCCGAGCCGACGGCCGAGCCGACTGCCGAGGCAACCGCAGAGGCCTGGCTTCTTCCTATGTTGATCAGCGCATGAAGTACTACTTTGTGTAGGGTTGCCAGGTCTGGGCTCTAGTTGAGGATTCCCCTCTCCTGTCTCCTTCTGGCAGCTTGTGGTGTGATGTGGTCTGTTTTGGTTGCATGTTCTCCCTGCCTTGGTCGGCAAAATCCTAAGCCCCAAGCCACAACAGTAGCCTCGAAACCTTGAGCCCAATATCTTCAGCCAGATACCCCAAGCCCGAACCGCGTGCATAGCGCGACATGACAAGAGCCTCGTCATTGCTTTCCAGTTGTCCTCGACACTAACGGGAGGAATGCCTGTACTGAACTTCTCTTGCGGCTGTCAAGTGGAGGCTGCTTCAGACTGCAGACTCCTCTTCCTCTAAAAGTTGAGTTCTAAAGAGCCTCTTCTGCAGTCTCAAGACCGAGATCCTAAATCGAACCATCTCAGGTTTTTTGCCCGGATGACTTGCAAATCTTCCTTACTGGCTTGTAGCTGCCCGAAGCTCTACGTGGCAACAAGCTTATGTTTTAGGCCCTTGGGGTTTCCGAGGGCTTCGCCAGGGCCCAGGTGTTGAGGGTAGAGGTGTCAGGTGAAAACGGCCGCCTTGCAAGGCACCCGATGCTGCGCCACCGGCGGAGGCCCCTGCAGAGCCACCTTCAGCCTGAGGAGGCCCGATGCTCTGGAGTGTTCGCACACTGGAGCTGGCAAACTCGTCGTCGGTGTCGTGCTCTTCCCATACTATTGCTAGTACTACTACTACTACTACTACTACTACTACTACTACTGCTGCTACTACTACTACTACTGCTACTAGTACTGCTGCTGCTGCTACTACTACTACTACTACTACTACTGCTACTCCTGCTGCGTCACGGTCGTAGGCGTCCTATCCCAGGCTCTGTCCAGCCTGGTGTATTCAAACCTGTGGAAAGACTTGGAAAGATGTCCGGTATCTCTAGTTTCATAGCCCCTGCGGCTCCTGTAGCTACTGCAAACAGTCGGATACCTTGAAACCTGGTCCATTGCTTCAGCACTTGCCTGGTCCCTTTCTGCACCAGACCTGCGCGCGCTCAGCTCGAGAAGGCGGTGAGCAACGAGCTGAACAGAAGCGAAGGAACACTTTACGAGCCCTGGACGACTGGTTTCTTTTGGGACTTCCTTATCAGGGCCCCCCCTACGGGAAGGTCCGCATGATGGCGTCCTTCTTCGCATTGTTAGGGTTGTCTGGGGCTCCATTGCATTTTCCCATCAATCCATGTCTTATGCCTTAGGCTCCGCTGCTGGGTCTGTACCCATCAGCAGGAGAGGCGAATTGTTCGTGAAGAGGCAGTGCCACGTTTTTCTGAGGCCCCGCCACGTGGGTAGATGCCATCATTCAGCCAGAATTCGAATAATCCCGCACGACCAAAGGTGACAAACAGCTTCACCCAGGACTCCCCAAAAAGGACCAGAAGTCGACGGCTACCCACATGCATCCTTCCCTGCCAAGCATGGGAGCACAAGAGGGCTCGGAGCCGTTTCATCCCCGGACCGACTCCCTTTCCTGGTGCTGCTTTCGAGTGTCGATATGTTCTGCAACACACGGAGGATCGGCTGAGAAAATTTCTAGGGTTCCACTTCAACCGTTTCGTGTCTATTCAATCAATCCCGCAAGCCCTCCTCCGATGGCTGGCGCAGCCTAGCCACCCGACAACCAGAAATGCGAAGCAGAAGTCGTGCGCTCTTGAGGGCTGGCAAGATTGCGGCTCCCTAGACAACGCTAGGACCACCAAGCTACCAAATCCGAGATCGAGTCGTGAGATCTGTGCCCGTTGCAGATATGTGTAGCGGCGGCAGTAGGTCGTAACTACTGTATGTAGTTCAGACATCTTCTGAGCAGAAATCATGGACCTTCAAGGACAAGGACCCAAGCCTACATCTTCAGCTTTTGCCCTTAGGGCCTGATATCCTTGGCCCTAGGCGCTTTAGCCTCGAAACCTTTTGCGAGCTTACATGTTTGTGGTTGTAGGCCGAGATCCTGTCGCAATCTGCATGTCACCGACTCCAAGCGCTTGTTCCGTTGGCTTTCGGATAGTGCGGGGTTAAGCCTTGCACTCCGTGGGAGCTGTCCAAAAGGCACGCAAGCAAGTTAAAGGGAACGCATGCACAATCTCCATCCTGCGAGCAACATCGTATGTGTCATGTTCCCATCAGCAGAGTATCAGAGGAAGCCATATTGAGACTGGGGCTGCTGGCTTTTGAACAGCATCCATTTTACTTAGGTTGTCGAGGATGATAATGCTGCAGCTAAAAGAGCAGAGAGTTGTCTCAAACTGCTCTTGAAGGCAGTGCAAGCACTGCCGACGAAGCTGCTTTTTGCCCACGTCTCCTCTTTGCTGCACCTCCGACGCGACGGGAAGTAAGATGCCTCCTTGAGGTTCCGGGGATATCCAGCACACCACAAACGTGAGGTGTGACAAAGTGGCAGCCAGGGAAGGAATGCACTTTTTGAGACTGCATGATTTCAATTGGTGCACTCCGGCTGGCGTTTGTGTGGGTTTGCGACTGAGGCCTCACTGAGGCTGCGACGATGAATCCTACTAAAGGTAGGTTCAAAAACAGAATGTACTTGGCAAGCGGGAAGGTTCTTTCTGGGATCTTCTGGGTGGAGGGAGGCCGGCAAGCATTGAGTAATGCTTGAAGCGAAGAGGTGACTTGCTCGGAAGAAGTCTTCCGGGTCGCAGCGTTTGGGGTATTTCGCCTTGAGGTTGTGCTGGAGCCTCGTGGGTTAGCTTTTGGATTACCGGCTTCTACACGAGTCTCGCCGTTTTGGCTCAGCATCTCGAGCTGGTGTTTTTCTAGGCATCGAACCCGAAGTGCCCCAAAACCACTGAACCCAAAACCCTTAGCCCCGAAACCCGAAAGATGGTGGGAAGCAAAAAGACAGCACGACCTTCGTTCGGTTATGGATGGCACCATGGGTTCTTTAAAGTGTTAGTTGTTTATGTAGCCTTCCGAAAGTTATGTTAAACCTCTATCCCTGAACCCCAGACCCTGTCTTGCAGCAACACATGCCACAAAGGTTCTTTCGATGTGACAGGTTTTTCTGAGCCAGTTGGGTTTTGAGGCCTATGAAACTGTCCATACAATCCTTAACCCCAGAGCCCGGGCACGAAATGTCCCTAGCACCCTGAAGCCCTAAAGCCCCGAATCCCACGCCTGAAACCCGGACACCTAAAACCGTAACTCAGGATCTTCGGTCTGGGTAGTTAATGATAACATTCCTTGCCTCTTGTTAAAGGATTTTTTTTTAAATCCTGCTGTGTTTCGGCCTTCGACGGCTGGAAAAAGGTGTAACAAAAGTCTTGGGCGGGGCCTTGCTTTGACTGAACACTCACAGCTGGGGGGGTCATGAATGAAGCTTATGTATCAGCGAAAAATCACAGACAACCTGAGTTGTAGCCCATACTACAAAAGATAGAAATAGTTGGAAACCATTTTTCTAATATACTGTGTATGTTTCAAAAAACATAAATGCCTATTTCGATTTCTCGAATGCAGGCAACCACATGTCGAGCACTAGTTTCAAACATTTCAGGTTATCGAAATTAGGTTCGCAAATTCGTGGGACCACATCAAATGTCACAGAAAACAGAATTAATGCATTTCAAGTTGTTCTTTGTTTCATATGTGTTTCTGCAGTCACGACACGTGCACACATGCCATGTGGTTTCGTGGTTTTCAAGGCCCTATATTAATTCTTGGCTCGTATAATAATAGGCTTCTTTAAAATTTGCCAGGTTCGAGATGTAGGCCCATTGCTTCATGAAGGTAGGAACAATAGCTTCTAGGTCATCTCACCCAAGGCTGGAACAACAGATAGATTCCTACCTTCTCCTACCCCCCTTTCAGACACCACAATCCAAAAGCCCCAATCCCCAAAGCCCTAAACCCTAAGCCTAAATAACCCTATAAGCCTAAACTCCTAAATACCCCGCGTACCTTTCAGGGCCCTGCAGGCAAGCTCGGCGACAAGGCGAAGGAGATCAGACGGTGCCGCGAAGGCGCCAAAGAAAATGTGCCGCGATGGCGCAAAGGCGACGAATGACGACCAACGACGACGACGATTGTGCCGCGATGGCGCAGCCACAGACAAAGAAGATGCGCCGCGATGGCGCAGACATGCACTCAGAGAAGATGCGCCGCGATGGCGCAGACACAGACAAGATGCGCCGCGATGGCGCATAGGGGGGAACACATCATGTGCCGCGAAGGCGCAGGAGCAGCAAGTAGGCAGCGCACCGCGAGGGTGCATGTAGACTTGTCATGTGCCGCGACGGCGCATTCTCTCCCTTACTCTGATCTCTGTGCCTCTCTCTCTCTCAGGCTGTCTGTGCCACTTTCGACGATGCGCCGTGATATCAGTGGCCACTGCCTGAGTGACGGTGTCTGGGCGCTTTGTTGCTGCTCCCTCGAAGATGTTCTGGTTGCGCACACGCAGTCACAGTAAGGCTGTGACAGCGTCGACCGGGCAGAATGCAGTAGTCAGTAGCCTCAGTCGTGGAAGAAGCCCCGAATGTGTTCATCATATAGCGACTAGAACCGCAATGAGCAGACTCCGTCTGGAATGACTGTGACGGGCAGTCGAAGTTGCAAACCACTTTTCTTTCTGCCGAGGCTGCCGCGGAAGACGCTCTCCGCTACTAGAGGCCCAGTGCACAGCTGCGGCCAGCCCACCAGCCAGTTCGTCGTGCTAGCATGTTGACTACCGTTCTATGCCATCAGCAGGCATTGTCTACATCTCTGATCTTTGCAGCCGGAAGTCTGGGCCCTACGACGACCGGTCTGAGTCGGGTTCACTCGTCGCGGTAGGCACCTGGATCATTGGATCCATTCGTGAGGGGTTCCTATAAAGTACCTTTAACAGTTTTGGATGCTTCCGGGGGACTGGGGATGATTGAAAGCCGAAACCCTCCACCCCAGAGAAAAAGCAATCCGAAACCCAACCCCAGCTCGTCACCCAAAAGTTTCTGTGGATGGAATAAGCACAGAAGAAAGTATGCATGTCACATAATGCATCACAGACACCGGTGTTGTGGGGGTGCTCTTGGCCGGTGATGTCGGGCTCTTGAGCCGGGCATTCATCTCCGACATCAGCTCGCTCACCGTTGCCTCTGCAGGGAGCTACTGCAGAACTCCGTGATAGATGCCGTCTGGCCTACAGACTCCGAGGAAGTCTGCGGGATCCGGGATCCCGCCGGTTTGGCTGGAGGCCAGCAGTAGCCTTTCCGCCATTCCAACGCTTCCCAGACCCTGCCAGAGGCGAATGCTTTGTTTTACTTCGCCGCAGATATCTCAGTTTTGGGGTTTCAGGCAGGACAGGATGTGGGAGGGACCGGGCCCAGGCAGAGTTTGGGGGCAAGGGCCGGATAGGGGCCACGGCCTGGGTAAAGGTGCGCAGATGCGCGCGCGCACCTGCGATTTTCACATTGGCGAAAGAGCTCATGAACATGAAAGCTGACGGAAGATACTTTGGATTTGGATTTAAAAGCTGAGGGTGAAGGTTGATAGACTTGTCGTGCCAGCGGTGGGCGACTCACCCGTCAGTACCGGTACTGACGGGTGAGAGCCAGGGTCTGGCCCTATCCATCCGAGGGCTGAGACAGAGGGTCCTTCTCTCAGCAGC